TGGTCTAATAGTCTCTGGTGCTCTCCCAGGCTCCAGCACTTCCAAAGTACTTAACATTTTGAACTGGTCCACCTTAACTGAGAGGAGGATCCTCCACTTTAAAACAATTATGTACAAAGCCGTGAACGATTTAACACCTATTTATATCTCAGATATATTTAGGCCATTCATAAACCCTCAAGCAAGATTGTTAAGGAAATCTCGAGATTTCACTATCCCTATTCACTATCCACATAAGTCTCCAATATACAAAATGATGAACCTATGGAATGATCCAGGATCTGTTCCCTTGGAACAAAAGCTCTTGCCAACTATTGCATCTTTTAAAAGAACACTTAAATTAAATTTGTTCCCTGGTGTTGTTTCAACAATTTGTTTAAAATTAACTCGTCAACAAGAACTTTATCTGAATAGAGCCAGGGTAGATTTAATTTTAAAAGCCCAGCTCAAAGCCCACAATTGGAGCTCAGTTGAGTCATCAAATTGTTTATGTGGTTCCCCTGAAACTTTTCCCCACTTCTTTTTCAAATGCCCTCTGAAAGAACAACAAAGAAATAAATTAATAACAGATACTTTAGGGATATATGGGGACTTATTAACTCATTTCAGAACTCAGCAAGACAAAATTCACTTTTTTCTTTTTGGAGATCCATCATTAACCCAATTAGAAATGGATAATCTATTTTCACTGGTTGCGAATTATCTCATTGAAAACACAACCAGAATCTAAATATTTTCCTGCCTATGACCTGTTTCCATTTTTCAACATACTACCCCTCCCCCAGGATATCAGCAGCCCTCCTATCTTTTGTTTCATTGCAAGGCATTCTACCATTTACAGGTGACATCCAGGTTAAAATGAATATTGTACTTTATTGTTTAATTATATAAGGGGACATCTAATGCTTACAGCGCTTTGCCCCTTGTAATTGTATCTAAATGACTTGTGCTTACAATAAATATGAAAGATGATAAAAAAAAAATATATATATACTTTGGATAAGATTTACAATCTCTAGATCTTAGTCAATGGCATGTTGCACCTCAGCCTTTAATTGGCGATATTCGCGACTATTAATTTTCGTGATTTTTACACAATCGCGAAAAGCACGAAACTAAATTGCACGCGAAAAATATCGGGAGTACAGTACATTGAAACCATACACTCATATATTTCATAAGAATTTGCAATCAAGCCTAACAAATCTATTGGCAAAATATTAGAAGGCCAGCAAATGTACACATGCTAAAGTGATGAAACTTTAATGAATTTTAATTTTGCCTATACTGAGATGTGTTAAACTCTATTTGGGTTAGATTTATTGCTACACCCTCTACTTACAGCCTTAACATGCCTCCTATCGGCTATCACCCGCTTCAAAATCCTAACAGGTTCCTTTATATCTTCCTTTATCTTCTGTTTAAGAAAAGCTGTTAGCTATCAGCTGTATTTTTGTCAATCAAGATTTCTCTTCATCTGTGAATTACCCAGCGAGAAACCAAAATGGCAATTTTGATGGAAAGACACAAAGTACCAGTCAAAATCTCTGAAGATTTCCGGGCAAACAATGGCAGCTCTCCCAGTTAGGTTTTAGACTGTCTTCTCATATTTTGTCAATTTTATTCAATTTCAAGTATTGTTTAGAGTTGTGCGTTCAACATATTCGAGAAGTCAATAGCTATAATAAATTTGCAGATTTTGCTCGCATATATGTAAGCTTTTCTCTTTTGACGGATACTTTGTGTCTTTCCTTGAAATCATGACAGGTGTAACTGATCTACTGAAATCAACTTCAAGTGCTTACTACTATCTCCCAATGTGATCAGTGCTTTTTGTTGAGAAAATATGTAAGTTATTAGCCACTTCTTTGCCGATCAGGATTTAAATTCTCTTTATCTGTCATGTACCTAGCAAGATTCAGAGATTTTGACTTGTACGTCATGTCTTTCTGTCAAAACTTCCATTTTTGGTTTCTTGGTAAAGAGTATCTTCTCAATGTATAATGAGAATTTGCTGTTCGGCACAGAAGCACCTTTTAATTTTTTTCGATTTTCGCAAGGAGGACACTAACACAATTTTGAAGCGGTTGATAGCGGGCTCTAAATGCTGTTCTAACAGATCAGTCACAGCCTCTGAAAGAGCTAGATCTAAGGCTCTAGCTTTAGGCTAGTCTAAGTCCTATAGATCTAGTAGTCTAGGCCTAGAATCATAGCCCAGGCATAGGCCCGTAAAAATGTAAAGAAATAAAGCTTACAGCATGTTCTATAAGTGAATTTGACTCAATGTTATACATGTTCCGGGCCTATGCCTAGTATAGTCCCGCAGGACGATGAAGATAGAAAAAGTTGAAAATTCGATTTCGATTCAATTTGATTTTCTGCCATTATAAATGAAATACTGTACTTACCAACATGTTTCTCGGATATATATGTTGTTCTAACTTTATCTTCGCCGAAGATCGATGTTTATTTATATATAACAATCGAATAATCGACATAATTCAAACTCATCACTACGACACCCGGGCTCCATTTAATTCAACACGCACTTAAGACGGGCCCCTTGGACCAAGCCTAGCTAAAATATATCACTGGAGTTTTTCGTAATAGGTAGTTTCTGATCGATTTTTTGTCAAATCAAAAAAATAAATTACTCGGCAATAGGTTATTAAGATGAAATTGGCGAGAGGTGTACACTGACAAAGAGTGGTTGAAATAACTCCATAAACGCCAAAGATCTAGGAAAAAACCATAGGTTCTGGGCCGATATAAAGATGGCAGCACCAACAGAATCCAGTATTATCTTATTTATAAATAAACTAAGATCGACCACCATGCCATCTTTATTTAAAAATTATTCCTATCGGCCTTTGCCTATGGAAAAAACCGATGAAAATCTCCCCTAAAAAGGACCCCTTCGAAAATGGCATTCTCCATTTAAGGGCAAAAAGGCGGAGTTATAAGCGGACTGACACTTTCCTTAAATGGAGAAGTCTCGATGGATCTCGCTTAAACTCCGCCCCTTCTTCGTGAAAAATCACGTGAATTCCGGCTTTTGCTGGGGCATATCCGGGCATCTCGGCTTCGAACCCAATCAGAAGTTTCAATTTTGACTGGCACCGCATACATTATCTCAAGTCTCACCCAATATTTTTATGTATACGTTAATCAGTCTACACACTTGCCATCTATATTTAGATATACATTGTGATTACATTTCATTGCATTGACTGGGATTTAGAATTTGACATGGGATTAAATATGTTGATTACATTGATTAGGAGATACAAAATGTCTTTAGAGCGAGCGAAGTGGTTAATAATTAACATTTTTTGCATAATTTTAGAAAATAATTTTATATATATATTAAATTGGCGAACGTAATTTTTCATTGGTGAGTGTAAAAACACAAGTTACTTAGCAATTGGCGAGTAGTAGAAAAATCCTAAGACCCACACTGTATGGTAGGGTAATAGGAAATTGAATGATTTACAAATGTTTGAAATATCAGGGAGTTATTTCTTGAAATGACAAAGATATGAGAAAAATGCAGGGTTTCCATTTTTTGACCACCCTGTATGAAATAAACTAAGACCATTATGTCATCTATGATTGTTTTAATTTCTTTGACAATGCCAAATGAAAATATAATGCAATGGAAAGTCACTAGAATTTACGTTTTGTATTTTCAACTGTTGCTCTTTGTGTTCTACCTATCTTTGTGTTCTATCTTTAATGATGTTTTGACATAGTATCTAGGTGGGATACCTAGGTAAAGCTACAGTTTACACAATAAGGGTGATCATGGAACTATTGTTCAGAACACATTTAACAAGGTTCATTTTATCATATGATATATTATTTGTAGGGGTTATTTTATGATTTGTGCTTTCAGTATGTTGCCCTTTGCGTCCCATCTTAATGGTATTTTAATATACCCTCTAGGTTGAATGCCTACTGTATACCAACTGAGGTGATCATGGTACTATTGTTTAGAACACATTTATTAAGGTTCATTTTTTCAAAAGATATATTAAGTTTATAGTTTTTTTATTATATGTGTTTTCAATATGTTGCCCTTTGTGTTCTACCATAACGATGTTCATATATATCGATTGGGGAATGGTCAACATACTTAAAATGATCATGAATGAAGACTAACATACCCTAAAATGATATTTAGAATGATTTGTGTAGTCAAACTTAATTAAGTGCACTGAATGACCTTAGTTTTAATCCAAATGACCTAATTTCATTTTTGATGTGTTCATGATTGATAAAAGTAACTATTTTCATATTATTTTCAATGGAACCTTTGGGGCACCTTCAGGTACATTAGGTAACAGAATTCTTGAAATTGATCTATCAAACGGTTCACCTGAAAACACGTTACAGACAAGATTTTAGAACGGAAAAATCCAAAATGGCCAACAATAAAAAAGTGATTATGAGTTTTTGCTGATTTCTTTTTACAAAATTATCATCGCATATAACTGCAGCTACCAATAACACAGGCTTTTACAACAAAGTACACCTAAAACTATTTATTAAACTACTAAATAGTTAAAGAATGAAAACTCAAAAACACCATTCAAAATGATACAAAGTATTATCGCGCGCTAACTTTTCTTAAGACATTCAAAATGGCTGCCATGAGTGAGCTAACGGGTCCAAAACCTTATCAAATGTAGAATGAAGTGAGCTGAACAAGATGTTTAAGTTTGCAGACAAGGATTTTAGCATTTGACTTCAAAATGGCTGACAGGAAGTAGGTATCGAGTTAAAATTTTTTCATCCACATCTGTATGCACTCATAAGTTATCTTTGAAAATTTGAAGGTGATATCTGTAGCGGTTTTGGAGAAAATTGCCAGATGTACGGACGGACGGACAGACAGTTGGGCCGACAATATGGCCCCACACTATGTGGTGGGGACATAAAAACCCTAAGCAGAGAGACATTAAGCCCCAGAGAACATCAGAACACCTGAGTGAACCTACTTGAAGAGTGCTGCTTTACATTGTTGGTACGCATATCAGATCCATTATGGGTCTTAATATGTGCTTGTAAGTTACGCTGAAGGGCAAATTCTTTGTTGCAGTGAGGGCATGAGTGCTTTGGAGCTGAAATACATAAACATCACAGGTAGGGATCAAATACTGTTTTCAGTACAGGTTACCGCCCCTTCGAGTAGAAATAACGCACATTGGAGTAGAAATCATATACAGCACTCCTGTACATGATTTCTACTCGAAGGTGCGTTATTTCTACTCGAAGGGGCGGTAACCTGTACTGAAAAATGTGATATAAACAAAATGTGTGATTTGATCCTTCCCCACTAGTAGTATCCAAAGCCCCACTATGATTTCAAAGTCGCGAGCAAGTTCCTGCTGAAATCGCGAGGAATAAAAAAGTGAAGGGTTGTCTTTTGTTTACTTGAATTGTATGATGTACAAAACGTTTTCTTTTTAATTTTCAGCAATTATTACATTGTATTGAGACTAAAAAGGCAACTGATGGAAAAAAGTATCACGAGCGGTCGTTCTGTGGTTCTTTATTTGACAGTTGAAGAGAGAAAAGTATCATCTTGAATCTTTATCTATATATTTCTATATGTTATAGGTGAAGAACGACGTTGTCCTGTGGTTGAAATAATGGTAGTGATTTGAAATAAAAATGTACTTCCTTTTTTCACTTCCTAAAGCTTTACAGAACACTTTATATTTCAATTTTATCATATCTCTCAAGGCCCAGCTTTTAGCGGAGCAAAAAAAGCAAAGACCCCGCTGAAATCATGAGGAGGCCCCGCTGAAAACATGAGCAAGTGTCTCTCAAAAAAGGAATGAATCCTGATTATACCGTGAAAATCTCCCACTATCGAACCCAGCTTGATCCACTATTTTACCCAGTTTCATGAATACATCATTTGTTGATACAATTCTCAAAAACAGCAAATACTGTATTGATATAGTACATATTATGATACGTTGTAATGGAAAAATGTGATGAGAATTAGATCGGATGAAATGTTAAAAGTTTAACCTCATTTTCATAATTACGATGTGAACATAAATGTTGTTGATTTTACGCATCAAATCTAATCAATTCAACTGTTTGAAAAGTAAGTGGAATTCCATCATACATGTATATGAGTACAAGTCGATATTTAGTAAGATTCATGCGTAAGCTAAAACGATTAAGTCAGAAAAATGTTCAGTTATACTATTCGAATAAATGCACACATGAATGAACGGTCAGACGAATGTACTCACGTACACACGAATGGTCGTTTGAACGCACAAACCGACGGGTAGACAAACACGTGCAAAAACGACAAGACGAACGCACGCATGAACAGACGGTCGAAAGAACGCACGCACGGACGAAAGGACGTTCAGATAGACGCACTCATGAATGAATGGACAGTCGGACGAAAACAAGCAGGAACGGACGATCTAACGAACGCATGCACGCACGAACGAACGGTCGAAAGAAAGCACGAACGAACGGCCAGTAGAACAAATGCACGAACGAACGGAGGGTCGGATGAACGCACACTCGAACGATCGCACGAATGGACGATTTGACTATCGCACGAACGAACGAACGAACAAACGGTCAGACGAACGCATGCCTGAGCTAACGAATTTCGAACAAGCGCACCAACGAACGAACGGAAGGTCGAAGAAACGCACACACGAACGTACGATCCGACGAATGCACGCACGAACGAACGAACGGTCAGACGAACGCACGTAAGAATGGACGGTCAGAAGAACAAACAAGCCAATGAAATATATGTGTCCTCAGAAATTCCTTGGAACATAGAATTATATAGAATTTACATTTAACTGTACAAATGTACAAAGTCTGTTTACACATTTAAGAATTTTATTTTATGACGACGCTGACAGATGGATCAAACTGCCTGAAGTTGCAGAAGAAATAGTTGCGATGTTGCCATTGTAATGTTATTATGGTATTAATACGTTATTGGCACGTTCTTGTACGTTCATATAAAGAAATTCAATATCTTCATGGAATAATAATGTAGCTTTCCTCGCGATCGAAGCGGGACCTCCTCATGTTTTCAGCGGGACCTCCTCATGTTTTCAGCGGGGCCACTGAAACACCTTTAATGATGTATTTCGACCCGCATGGCAGACATAATTGCACAGTTACTTATCAATACAGACCATATTGATCCAATATGTATTATGGAGTATGTGAATCGTATTTATTGCCTTTATTTTAACGATAAAAGTAATATATGAACAGTAAATTATGCAAGCATGCATATTGACGCCCCTCTTTTCAATGCCAGTGAAGAAGAATAATTTTTTATGTCATCGTTTGTCAAATGTATCTGTTTTTAAAGTATTGCTGGAGTATGGAAGAACAGTTATAAGTATTTTCACCCTTTTGGTCCATTTTCCAAAGTGATGCAAATAAACAGGACTATGCTCGCGATTTCAGCGGGAACTTGCTCGCGACTTTGAAATCATAGCGGGGCTTTGGATACTACCCGTGCTTCTCTGTGAACATTAAAAATACAAAGAATTAAACTAGCTAAAAAGTGCTATGAAAAGATCTACAAATTGAGTGAAATACATTTCAGAACAAACATCCTACTAGACCAATATTAGAGCATTAAATGCATTCACACATAACAAGGTATGCATTGCCACTTTTATCAAAACATAGTATCAGTATGTATTTTTGTGATATTTTACTATTTACTGTATCTAGCATGTACATAGAAAACATCAACAACTTTACATTGCTCTGCTATTTTTCCAATTAAAGCCATTAGTTAGTGAGAGAGCACCGAAAAATGTACCGCCTTCTGAACAAATTGAAAAGATTACTTGTTTCTTATGTATTTTTATGTGATACTTCAGAAAATTTTTGTCTGACGCGCCGTATCCGGGGCGAAAGTTGTCAAAATAGGGTATTTGACCCTAAAAAGGAAAATTACAGGGGGTACAGGTTTTACCAAAATTAAGGATTTTCTCAGCAAAAATTGTGGTTTCCATGGCAACCATGAGTGACAGATCATTGAAACTTACAGACTACCTCAGAATGATCTAATATCAACTCTCAATAAAATATTATGATGATTGAAGACCAACTGAATGAATTATTCAATGAAGGTAATGTACCCCCTGTAATTTTCCCCATTTTGACAACTTTCGCCCCGGATACGGCGCGTCAGAAAAGAGTTTTCTGAAGTATCACATAAGAAACAAGTAATTTCAATTTGTTCAGAGACCGGTACATTTTTCGGTGCCATCTCACTACCTAAATGTAATAGTCTAAAAACCTGGCGAGAGCCCCGAGTGGTGCAAATATATAGAAGTTCATAGTAAATAAATAGCAGTATAAATAACATGAATATAATAAAGTATTGAAATTATATAGACACAGTAATGCAATTTTTGACTTACCCAATTCATGTTTGTTCATATGCTCAGTGAGGCTTGCAGAGGAGGGGAACTCATCAGGGCACTCTGTACATCTGTGCATGTTTAACTTATGAGAGACATACACCAGCTCAGATGCATCCCTAACATGATCTGAGTGGATCTTATAATGCTCCTGCAGTTCAGGCATACTTGGAAATGATTCAGCACAGTGTGTGCACTTCATGCTCAAGTCTTGTCTCTCGTGGGTCCGCTGGTGATTTGTCATATCATTAAGGGTTGTAAATAAACGAAAACATTCTGGACACTGGAATTGTTCACAAACACCCATAGCATGAGTAAACATGTGATTTTGAAGTTCAGCTGAGAAGAAGAATTTCTGATGACATTGTGTGCAAGAGAACTTTCTGGCACTGATGCTGTGTTCTAGGACATGTAGCTGTATAGCAGATGCCTTGAGAAATGTCTTATTGCAGATATAGCATGTCATTTCACCTCCCTGGAATGTGTGCTCCACCAGATGGCACTGCAACTTGGCAGGTGAATCAAAGGCACTGTTACAAATCTCACACTTGTGGAGGTTTCCCTCTTGAATCATATGGACAGCAACATGTGCCTGGATCTCCAGCTCAGTTGTGAAGGACTGCTGGCATTTGATACACTGGAAGTTTTTCTTGTGTGTCAATACATGTGCCTCTAACTGCAGTTGAGTCTCAAACTTCAAACTACACTGGTTGCAATTGTATCGTTTTGGAGGTTCACCATGGTAACAAGGCTTACATACATAGTATGATCGCCCACTAGTGTTGAGTTTAGAAACTAAGTTTTCCTTTGAGTCAAAACTGCTAAGACATACGCAGCATGTGTAGAAGCTGGATGGACTCTGGAAGTGATGTTTGGCATGCATCTGGACTTCTAACATAGAGGCAAGAGTTTGGCGACACACAATACACTGCGTCTGGCCTCCAGTGATTCCATGAAGTTGAGTATGGTTGTAGAAAATTTCCTCATTCTTGAGATTTACTTTACAAATGACACACATGTTCCCCTGGACCACCTTACAATGTGTGAGTTTATGTTCCGCTAGAATACTAGAGCTAGGAAATACTTCGTCACAAATATTACATTTCTGATTGCTTGGCAATGCATGGACTTTCATGTGCTTCTCTAATTCTCCTTTAGTCTTGAAGGATTGTTGACAATAAACACATACTTGACTGAACTTATCTGGGAGCCCCAATATAGGAAGCTGAGGGGAAACCAAAGACGGGGTTGTTAAATTTTGTGGTACATGTAGCTGGGATCTTAAAATTGGTGATTTGGGATTTGATTGGGTTTCTGACATAACGGAAGGAGTTGGCATTTCATTGGCTTCAGCTGGGATGTGCCACACTTTATCAAATGTTAATTTATGTTCCATGTTTCTATGATTCGTTAATGCAACCATGTCTGGAAATTTAATGTCACATATTTCACATTTACACATAGGGCTGAAATTTGGTGACACAGTTTTCTCTTTCTTAACGGTGTACCCTTCTTTAGATTGCAATTCTGTTTGCTTGGATTGGCAGGATTTAGGACTGTAGTCGATTATCTCTATTTCATCTTCCTTTTCAATCTTTACTTTCAAGGGCTTAATCTCCTCTGGATTATGATTGGTCTGAATATGTTTATCGAGAAGGTATTCCACATGGAATGCTTCATCACATAAATGACATGGAAATTGTTTTTTATGGGTTGTCAGGTGGCACTGTAGTTCAACTTCACCTGTGAAACTCTCCTTACAAAAGAGACATCTATATGGCTTAGAGATTCCAAGATGGTGGACCTTCACATGTAGCTGCCATTCCATCTCTGATCGGAATATTGACATACAGGTTGTACATTTATAAAGTTTACATTCATTGCTATGCTTAATTGCAAAGTGGACCTGTACATTAACCTTTGAGTCAAAGATTTCCTTACAAAGGGAACAGCGATACAGATGATGTGCATGGATGTCCATCAAATGTTTCTGAAGCTCATCTGGCTTTGTGAACAATTTAAGGCAGCTTGTACAACCATATTCTGTAGTCAAGGACAGGAAGTGGACTAAGATGTGTGATTCCAGTTGCTCCTCAGTTGGAAATGGGGCATCACAATATGAACACAATAAGTTTGGTCCATCTATCATAGTCATCCCCTGATGCGACTTCATGTGCACTTCATAGGACTTTGTGTCAAGGAAAGTTGCATTGCAATGATCACATGTTAAGTTTGATGCTTTCGAATGTCTTAAAAGTCGTTCAATTTTGCTCTGTTTTGGAATGACATTATATGCCCCATCCACCTGGACTTTATCACCTTCTCTAGGTGATTTCATACTGAGGTTCATCCCATGGCTACTCTGTATGTGCTCATTGAGGGCCACAGCACTAGTGAAGGCCATAGCACAGTGTGAACAAAACACATATTCACTACTTTTTGTTGACTTCATCTCAGCCATCAATTGTGCATGTCCTATCTCTTTATGCTGCTGCAATTCCTCTATTCTGCTGAAGTCCTGGCCACAGAATTCACAAGGGAACTTAATATTAAGTTCAGGCTCCTCACCATGTGCTTGCTGCAGATGGTCATTTAGGTTATAAATCGTCTTGAAGGTGGCATTACAAATATGACACACATGAGTTATCATTGGTTTCCCTGCATGCATTGTTCGCATGTGAATTTCTAGAACCTCTAACGTTGGGTATGTTTTTGTACAATATGGACATGTTTGTTTGTAGGATGTACTCAGATCTATTGCAGCATCTGACGTCATTCTGCTGCTTTGTGACTGGCTAGAAAAGCTAGCCAATGAGGGTCCAGAATGAGAGTCATGGTGTTGTAGATGCTGGTATGATTCTTCCTCATTTTCAAAGGATTGAAAACAGACAGGACAAGTCTTGAACTTCTCTCTAGCTGCATGAACCTGAAGTTAAAGGGTACACTTTACAAAACCTAATGAACCTAAATTAAAGGGTACACTTTACAAAAGAAAATGAACCTGAAGTTAAAGGGTACACTTTACAAAAGAAAATGAACCTGAAGTTAAAGGGTGCACTTTACAAAACCTAATGAACTAAAGTTAAAGGGTACACTTTACAAAAGAAAATGAACGTGAAGTTAAAGGGTACACTTTACAAAAGAAAATGAACCTCAAGTTAAAGGGTGCACTTTACAAAACCTAATGAACCTAAAGTTAAAGGGTACACTTTACATAAGAAAAAGAACCTAAAGTTAAAGGGTGCACTTTACAGAACCTATCAAGAAAACAGCAACTCCATGGAGTAGTGAATTCCACCGAACAAAACACGTCTTCTTGAGCAGAGCTCATTTTTTCTATAGGTATGGAATGAACATATAACATTTTGAGCCAAATTCATCCCCTGGTATTTGAGTTATCAAAGATTATGTTTTTTTTTACAAAAATGGCAACCATTTTGAAATTCAGCTGCCATCTCAGAAATTTCTTCTCAAGCAGAGCTCCTTTGACCCAAGCAACAGCATATAAAATCTGAACCAAATCAGTCTACTGATATTTAGGTTATTAAAAATTACATTTTAATGATAAATGGTAGCTATGCATAGCTATGTATGTTTGTCCCTAGGCATCAACATATAAAATGTAAACCATATCCATCAATTAGCATTTGAGTTAACAAAGATTACATTTCTTTTTAACAAAAATTGGCAGCCATTTTGAAATTCAGCCGCTATTTTAAAAATCTTTCTCAAACAGAGCTACTGTGTCCCTAGGCATCAGCATATAAAATTTAAAAAAATCCATTTACTGCTATCTGAGTTATCAAAGCTTACATTTTTTAAACGAAAAATAGCCGCCTTTTGTTATTTAGCAGCCATTTTAAAGCTTTGCTTCAAGGTACCTTCTTTGTCTCTAAGCATCAGCATATAAAATTTGAACCAAATCCTTCAACTAGTATTTGAGTTATCAAAGATTACGTTAAGAAAAATGACTGTGATTTTAGCAGCCATTTTGAAAATCTCTTCACGGTAGCTCCATTGTTCTGAGGCATTAGCATATAGAATTTGAACCAAATCCGTTCACTGGTATTTGAGTAATAAAAGATTAATGTTTTTTACGACAAATGGCCGCCATTTTGAAATTCAGCCCCTATCTTGAAAATTCTTTCTTGAAAAATCTACTTTTGATTCTAGGCATCATCATATAAAATTTGAACCAAATCCATTCACTGGTATTTGAGTTATCAAAAATTACGTTTTTTAGGAAAAATCTTGATATTTTAAAAAACTCTTCTACAGCATAGCTCCTTTGTCCTTAGGCATCAGCATATACAATTTGAACCAAATCTGTCAACTAGTATTCAAGTTGTCAAAGATTACATTTTTTACGAAAAAGAGTGGCCATTTTAAATTAAGAGGCCATATTGAAAATTCCTTCTCGAGCACAGAGGTTTTATCGCCATAAGTCTATAAAATTTGAATCAAATCTGTCAACAGGTATTTGAGTTATCGCCCAGACAAGCGGATGGACGGACGGCTTTGCTATATCCCCCTCGAACTGTGTTCAGTGGGATAATAAATAGTACCGTGGGTACTGGGCTCACAAAAGTGAATTTCCCCAGACAAAAATGGCGACCATTTTGAAAATAGGCGAGCTTTTGAACCAGGAGTCATATGGGAGTTTTCTGTATTGATGTTGAACGAAAATAACTTAAAACGGGAATCCTATAGACACAGGTTTTAGAGCAAATGGCCCAGAAGTGAATTTCGCGAGACAAAAATGGTGGCCATTTTGAAAATAGGCAAGCTTTTGGACCAGGAGTCATAGTTTTTTTTCTTTATTGATATTGAACAAAAATCAATCCTTTTGGCAGAGGTTTTAAACAGGCCAATTCTTGACAGACGGACTGACAGACAGACAGACAAACAGACAGACGGACAGACAGATGGACAAGTGAGTGATTGCAATAGCATACCATGTGAGCTAAAAAGCAGCCATCTGAAAATTTCTTCTTGAGCAAGAGGAGGGAAAGCCCCAGAGCTTTAGAGATGACAGACATAATTACATCTCTTGCTTACCACCTTCGTTTGTTCAAATTTTCACAGGCTTATTTCCAAATACTACACTTCGATCTGATGTTTAGAGATGACAGACATAATTACATCTCTTGCTTACCACCTTCGTTTGTTCAAATTTTCACAGGCTTATTTCCAAATACTACACTTCGATCTGATGTTTTAATTGATGTAGGCATATTCCATACACCTATCTTTATCTTGATGCCAAATAAGAAGCTATGATATTGGTTAATACGGCAGAAATGAAGTGTATTTCGAAAATTTGGAAGCCACCATTTACACGAGGGTAAAGTCTACCCGTGTACATACAACCTACCGCCGAGCAAGACACGCATATACCGCCTATCAAATGTTTGGTTAACTACATCACATAGGAAAATGGACAATAAAGTTAATATTGGACCTCTATCAATTCCCTTGGATGGTTAGAATCGTTACTAAGATGTTCTAGCAGGCGGAATTGGCCTAGAATTATAGTTGAAATACATTTGTTATGTCCAAATTAAGAGATAAGTTAACGTATAATGGTTTTCGATTTGTTTTTCTCATTCATACTCGCTTTAATTGATAATGAGCCATACATAAGACATATTTGGGCCGGTAAATGTATGTCATATGTATAATATATTAAGTGTCAAAATATTAGGTCAAAATAGCACTTTTGAACAGCAAAATCTTCACATAAACTTTGTCCTAAAAGATCCGATGTTATCGGACATCGGACCCGATGTGATCGACGAGTAATATTATAAAGATCTAAAAATATCTTGAGTAAATGATCTCAGAATCCGAACATTACTTGAGTAAAATCTGTTGAGATCCGATTATATCGTCGAGTCTATGACATGCTGATGATGAAATAGTGTTAGTGTTACTTTTGGGAGTTTTTGAACCTTGATTTAATTGCCTTTATTAGAAGGGTTACTCGTTGTTAATAGTATTGTAAGATTTTGACCTAGACTGACACAACAGAAATTAGGCTATCAACATTGGAGGATAGGAAAAGCGCGGAATTGCGTTTATATCAATTATGAATATGATCTTTCTTTTTTTTTTTATATGTGATTTATTTCATAGTAAAATAGAATTATTACATACACATGTTGTGGCTTTGCAATGAAGCATTATAAGCCACAATTAAATAATAACAAGATTTAAACCAGAACAACGGCAACGCCAAAGCGTAGCGAATCCCATCGAACAGAAATGGCTGGCATTTTTACAAACGAATAGCAAATATCATAAAACAGCACACCAGAAAGGCCACCATTTTCAAACTGGTTGCTCACTAGCCAAGTTGTCATCAGAAGAAATAATATGCTTTTAAGTAGCCACCTCTAAAATTTTTGAAAAATCACACACGTACTTGTAAAATAACACACATAAGAACAACGGCAACGCCAAAGCGTAGCGAATCCCATCGAACATTTTTCAAAATGGGCACCTTCTACCAAAAGTGTCATTAGACAGTGTGCCATGCTTATAATATTCACATACCAATATGAACGAAATCGCTCTACTACTTTTCCAGTTATAGTAAAATACGTTAAAATGGTGGCTATTTTGAAAAATGGCCGCCTTCTACCAAAAGTCTCATTAGACAGTGTGCCATGCTTGTAGTATTTACATACCAAATATGAACAAAATCGCTCCACTACTTTTCGAGTTATAGTAAAAAACCTTTAAAATGGCGGCCATTTTGAAAAATGGCCGCCTTCTACCAAAAGTGTCATTAGACAGTGTGCCATGCTTATAGTATTCACATACCAAATATGAACAAAATCGCTCCACTACTTTTCGAGTTACAGCAAAAATCGTAAAATGACGAGTAAAGGCCGCCATTTTTCAAGATGGCTGCCATGTGCTTTTTTAATATCTACATTTCTAGCTTTATTAATGTCCTATATAATTTTTTTACATTTAAAACATATTGCTATTACAGTTTTACATATTGCACCTAAATTACTGTAAAATCGGCACTAAAATGGCCGCCATTTTTAAATGAGCGGCCATTTTGAAAATCGGCTTTCGAGCAGAACTTCTACCCCCATAGGGTATATGTGTACAAAATATGAATAAAATCGGGCCAACGGTATTTGAGTTATTGCCCGGACGGACGGACGGTCGGACGGACGTACGTACAGACGTACGTACGTACGGACGGACGGACGGACGGAGGCGTTCCCTATATCCCTCCGAACTTCGTTCGATGGGATAAAAATGCAGTGTGGCAAATAAGAGGTCGCCAAACGCCAAAAACAGGGAGTGAAAAAAATTTGGCGATAGAAGTTGCGATCTATCTCGACAATTTTGGCGTTGGATGTTAGATCAATTAAACTTTACAGTTTTTATCCCCGACATTCTTGAAAAATGAAGTTTCATAGTTGATCCTATTCCCATTCACAAAGCTTTTTATTCTACCTAAAACATGATCAGAATAGAAGAACATAAAGCCACCTACCTTTAATAGAGAAGAACAATTTGAAGTAAAATAGCCAGATAATCATCAGTATTTAGAAAAAACACTGAAAAATCATCTAAATTTTGCCGTGAGTAGGCAGGAAGTTAGCCTACTCAGAGGTAACAATTTTGGTATTGTATTTGTATTGATCGCACTGCCATCTTTATAACTTATGAAAAACTGTTGAGTCAAAATTCATTTATAACAACCAGATACCTGTCTAGAACTCCTTGCACATTTGATTCCTTTATTTATTTATCCTCATTAGACTAAAAAAAGTTCATGATGTTCATTTTAAAGAGGTTTAATTCAAAAGATGCTACATTTTCAAAATATTGATCTCTCCAAACTCTGAAATAAAAGCTTCTTTGATGATACATACTCTAGCAGTATAGCCTAATACAGTA